TGAGAATTTAGGTCTGGTGTTTTTTACTATTTCTTTTAATAATTCTTCCATTTTTATACGGAAAAAAACTAATAGACTGTAATATCCTCTGGAAAATAAAAGGTATCTAATTTATCTCTATATTTACCATTGTATTTATCGCTAGAATTATCTATAACAATAAAACCATATGGTTTTTCCCAACACTGTTTACAAAATTTTTTAAACTCTTCTATTGGCATATCAGTACTCACATGATCTTGATAAATATGATTAAGATTTTTTGTATCTTGTTTGAATAAACATATAAAATTAGCATTTTCTCTGATAGTTTGTCTTGGTAATTTGAAATAATTTTGAGCGAGATAGAAACAATCGACATTACTATGTCTTCCTCTAACATAATAATCTTCACATTTATTCTGTTTTTCAAGTAAAAGATCATCAAAGATCATGAGGTTTTTATCTGAGGATTTGAGATCTTTAGGATCTGGTACTTCATTTGCATTTTCATAAAATTTACATTTAATTGGTGTTTGGGAGGAATATTTTTTACCCGCTTCTTGTAATACTTGCTGCATTGTTAAACCTTCACCGATTATATAATCATTATTTTTAAATAATTGAAGTAGAATTTCTTTAGGTAATCTTTGTTCGAATCCTGTTTTAATTATTTTATATTCTGGCTGAAAAAGTGATTTTCCAAAAACTTGAAGATTATCATAATCTAACCATCCATCATTTAAAAGTAGATTTAAAAGTAAATTAGTTTTTCCACAACCTGATTTACCAACAATTAAACCTCGTATACTTCTAGGTAGTAGATCATTATTATTTCTATTTGATGTGTTTTTCAATGAGAGTTCTTTTATATCCATTTTTTAATATTAATAATTTGAGAACCACTGAAAATATTATTTTAAGAACCGCTGATTGATATATTTTAATTTAAGACTATTTTGAATCATTTCTGACGGTAAATAAACTTTTTATAACAATTTTAAAATTGGGGTCCTTTTTAATATAATAGTTTTAGAACCGTTGATGCAATGGACATTTCTTTCTCATTTGTCGTGTGATAAAAAACGTCATTCCTCATAAACCAGTATGAATAATAAAGACGTTTTATGGGATTGACGCGAAATCTGGTTTTCTCCCTACACAAAAGAAACTATTTTAGTGTGTGCGTTGAAGCGTGACTGTGTGCGTTGAAGTGTGTCTGTGCTAAACTGGATTGGCTGTTTATCGTTTTTTGGACTTTCTAAAAATAGTCTGAAAAGTATGAAACCAGTTTGATAAAAGTGCAAATTCCGATCGCGATCGGAATGTGTACTTTTAGCGACCATGTTTTATGAGTCATTGTAGCTTCGTGTTCGTTCTAGAATATTCAGTTATAAGTGTATAAAAGGAGAAATTACTTCAAATACGTTCCCTTTGCTTGCTAAGCACGGTCTTGTTAGACTATTTTGACGATACCATTAGAAAAATGAAAGACTATTTTTTTTATTTTTTTTAATAAAAAAAGATCAGAAATGAATATGAAAGACCGGCAGAAAAAGACCGGCAGAAAAAAAGACCGGCAAAGAAAAACCGGAAGTGAGCTAAACTCGCATATAGTGATAACTACTTGCAGCTGCATCAGTAATCGCATATGAAGTTTTTATTTTGTGTTTATAATGTTTTATATGTGTTATTTTTTTTTAATGTTTTAATGCTAAGTACAGCAGTGTCCCTCTGTTTCATCATGTTGTTGAGGAAGCAGTAAAAAGCAAAACATATGTAAGTTGCAAACATATTAATAAAAATATAAACAGTTATGTAAACATTATGATTGACTGCACCACTTAAATATTGAATCTCCACAGCACAGATTTCAGATCAAATACGCAAATAAGACAAGAGACCAGCAAGAAAATGTATCTAGTTTTATAAGAAAGCGCCGTTGGAACTACATTGGCCATGCACTCAGAATGGATAAGTCAAGACTCCCCATCTAGCCCTCATATGGACACCAGAAGGGAAAAGAAAATGGGGAAGACCAAAAGAGACTCTGCTTGGAACCATCATCAGGAAAGGCTCAACTATGGGCCTAATGAATATCCAAGACGTAAATCAGGTGATAACGAACCACCAGACATGAAGAGCTATGACCTCTGCCCTATGCGCTGCCTTAGGCTCAAGAGGAAAACTAACTAACTGACCACTTAAATAAACAGAAACAAGTTAATAGATATTGAGTTGAGTTAAAAACCAGCATTGCTGCACTTCAGACATTCCCTTAGGTTCTCTCTCGCTCCCTCATCTTCAGCTGCAGGCAAAGTATTACAATTACAATGTTACCAGTAGCAGTCTGATTGTGTGTCAGGCTTGCCTTTCCTCTGAGCACTGAGAGTCGACCAGATTCCCTGCCGCATCATTCTCTCCAGATCATGATGATCTGTTTGGGCTTGCGTACTGTTCACATGATACCAAAGGATAGTGGCCACATCAAGCTTGTTGTGTATCAGTTTACCACCAAGTGATGCAGAAGAACCAGCTAAACTGTCGGCCTAAACAAGTTGATGATTTGTACTAAACAAACTGTAACATTAATGCTTGTTGGTAAAGTGGGTGAGCACTGTTTACATTCTCTAGGTAAGCATGTCAGACATGTGGCCTATGAGCTGCATATGGCTCTTTGCAAGCATATCTGTGGCCCGCACAAAGTATACATAGGCAAATAAATGTTTTTAATGACCTCAGTTAGTCGTTATGTGTGGCCCTCATGACAACAGATATGCAATCTTTATAGCCCTCGGAGGACTCTCAGTTTGACATGCCTGCTGTATGGAGTCAGTTTTCTGGAGTTTAGACTGACATAGTCTGAAGGAAATATTACTGCAAACAAAATATGCTTGTCTTTTATTTTTAATATAAAGTGCACTTAAATAAAATGCACTTAAATAATGGTCTACTAGCATTGATGGTGACTGTAATTGTAAGCTCTCAAGTTGAAGGGTTGAAAAGAGATTTCAATGTGAGCTGTCAGAATTAAGATACACTAAACAGTTTTTGTTCATAGACTAAAAACATCTAAATTTTTGAATAGCAAAGTCCATGTGTGGGTGCGGGGGCCCCATAGTTGGGGAAAACAAGAATAGACCTATTGCCTTTCTAGCAAGCATGTCATAGGAGTCGACTAACTGGAGACTTCCTTCGAAGTCAGAGTGCGTCTGCCTGAGTGGCAAGAAACAACAAAGTGCATACAAATAAGCCAGTCAAATGGATGTACACGCAGAAATCAGGCCCTGGCACAAAGCCAAAGTCCAAATGGAAGAACAGCCAAGGCTTTCCGGCAGTGCTTACAGCCGGTGAACAAAAAAGAAGAAGAGGATAGCTTCTGTTGAGGACAATTTTTTTTTTAATTTCAAGTTAAGAAATAGTTTTGATATTCACTGTGCTATTAACAGGATTAACTGTTTCACTCTTAGAGTATTTTTTTTATAGAAAGACAGTATCATCTACATTAACAGTTCAAGCTCTCATTGTTTTATATTTATATACGTACCATCCCAAAGGATTTAAAAAATGAAACTTTTCAAAACTTGAAATGAAAATAAGTCCATGCTTATAGTTTTCAAAAACTACCCTAAGAAATGAGGAAGAGAAAAAGATACAGAAGAAATTTAGAATCTTAGTCGGTTTTCATTTTTAAAAAAAAACAGGGGATGGGAACTTTCATTAAATATAGAGTAAATAACTTGTTTTCTTCCCTTTGGTCATGAAAACATTGTTTTCTAGGCAATGCAGTTTGGAACAAAGTGACGTCATTGTGATTTTCACTTGAGTTGTCGCACTGACAGAAATACAGTTTTTCTTCACACACATAATATTTCTATTTTTTAAAGTAGATCTAGTCATACCCTCCACATCTATACACTATGAAGCTGCAACCAGTACCAGAACATTTTTACAGGCATAGTGGACACTGCTGAAAAACTTCTTGTCCTCAAAAACCCTCAAATGCTGGAAAAGGGTCTCTTGAGAGGCGACAGAGTTGAAAGTATAAATCATTTCACTGTCACTTATAGCCATAATGGCAGTATGAAATTAGAAGCATGTTCTTTTCATTTCTACTTTTCTACTTCATGTAGTCTCCTGAACATCTGGAAATGATCTGGTATCTATATTAAAAAGGATGGGTCAGTGTCAGAGATGTACACAATTGATGTGTCAGAGCTGTACACAAGTGATGGGTCAGTGTCAGAGATGTACAGAATTGATGGGTCAGTGTCAGAGATGTACACAAGTGATGGGTCAGTGTCAGAGATGTACAGAATTGATGGGTCAGTGTCAGAGATATACACAATTGATGGGTCAGTGTCAGAGATGTACACAATTGATGGGTCAGTGTCAGAGGTACAGAATTGATGGGTCAGTGTCAGAGATGTACACAATTAATGTGTCAATGTCAGAGATATACACAATTGATGGGTCAGTGTCAGAGATGTACAGAATTGATGGGTCAGTGTCAGAGGTACAGAATTGATGGGTCAGTGTCAGAGATGTACACAATTGATGTGTCAATGTCAGAGATGTACACAATTGATGGGTCAGTGTCAGAGATGTACACATTTGATGTGTCAGAGCTGTACACAAGTGATGGGTCAGTGTCAGAGATGTACAGAATTGATGGGTCAGTGTCAGAGGTACAGAATTGATGGGTCAGTGTCAGAGATGTACACAATTGATGGGTCAATGTCAGAGATGTACACAATTGATGGATCAGTGTCAGAGATGTACACAATTGATGGGTCAGTGTCAGAGATGTACACAATTGATGGGTCAGTGTCAGAGATGTACACAATTGATGGGTCAGTGTCAGAGATGTACACAATTGATGGGTCAGTGTCATAGATGTACAGAATTATCAGAACAAAATAAGGCACTATTGAGATTTTAACCAAGATTACTTAGGTCACCACTCAATGAAGATGACATTCCTAAACCTGTTGACAATGTGTCTATTTCTAATCTTGCAGGACTTTTCAGACACAGTATCTCTCCTGGATAAATCCAATGTGAACCAAGATGCTTTAATGGCGTATGCTCGAGAAGCAGCTAATTTCTCTACACACTATCAACTCCCATCTCTAGAGTATGCAGTTAACCATTCTGGTCAGGCTGATGTGGCAATGTTTGATTTTACTTCAATGTTTGCTGCAGAAAATGCATCAAAGTTTCTTGTAAAGAATGGCCACCACCTTCTGATGGGTCTTGTTGGAGATAGCCTGTTAGAGGTACTACAGTCAGTCATACAAATTGAGATTTTTGTTAGATACATAGTCTGTTAGAGGTTTTACGGTCAGTAATATAAACTGAGTCATGTTGGAGATGGCATGTTAGAGGCTCCATAGTCAGTCATATAAACTGAATCTTGTTGGAGGTAACCTGTAAGAGGTTCCACAATCAGTCGTATAAATTTTGTCTTGTTTAAGATAGTCTGTTAGAGGCTCCACAGACAATCATATAAACTGAGGTTCCACAATTGGCTACATATATTGAGTCTTGAAGATTGTCTAGAAGAGATTTCACAGTCGGTCACATAAATTGAGTTTTGTTGAAGATCGTCTGTGAGAGTACCACAGTTAGTCATATAAATTGGGAGTTTTGATGGAGGTGGTCTGTAGAGGTACCACAAGCAGTCATATAATCAGCTGGTTGGAGAAAGTCTGTGTAGAGGTACCGATACAGGCGTATAAATTTATATTTTTTTTTTAGATAGTTTTTTTGAGTTGAGTTAATTCAAGAACCGACATCACAGCAGTCGGGGCATTCCATCCCCATCTTCAGCAGCCAGCGAAGAGTTCCAATACTAATGGTGCCAGTACCAGTCTGATTAAACAAGTTAGTTTTCTATAGGAATAACAGTCCATAGTATAAGTATAAGACTATTAATAATATATCCTTGCTAGGACCAAAATTGTGTTTATCGTAATTGAATGTTTTTCTGAAGCAAGTACGTGTAATGAGGTTTACACTGTTATGGACTGGAAAAAAACAGACACTGGGGTATTGACAGCAACAGGTATAAGGCGATCACTCATGAAAACGGAAAATATAATAGAAATTAATGGTGCATGGAGAAGAAATAATGACATTTAAAAAAATAAATGTTGCTGGTCATTTGAAAAATTAGTTTAAGGAAGTTTTGCTTTGTTGTTACATTCTTCTACACATTTTTTGTGTTTTTTTTTTTTTTAATCCTTTGTGTAAACATGAAATTAAATTATTACAGTAAATTAAAACGTTTCTTTCCAAATATGAAATAAATCTTCCAGGTTGTTTCTCATTGATTTGTTTTTGTTTGTTTGTAGCCATTTTGGCCCACTGGTTCTGGCTGTGCTCGTGGTTTTCTGAGTGCCTTTGATGCAGCTTGGATGATACGTAGCTGGGCAATGGGCAAGACTCCGCTCCAGGTGCTGGCTGAAAGAGAAAGCATCTACACACTCTTGTCCCAGACTACACCTAGTTATCTCAACAAAAACTATAACTTGTACAGCATAGACCCAAGTTCTAGGTAAGTACTTCTTATTGATAAGTATTTTTGTTAGTTAGTCAACAGAATATCCCCTTTGCACATTGAATCATTCAGTCCATTAGTGCTTGGATCCCCTCCTCAGTAAATCACACACCGGTTCTAGGTTGGTTTTTTAAATTCTTCTTTGGCTTCCTGCCCGAGCTCTTGTCTGGTCCACCTCTTTTAACTTACTGGTTTTTTTTTTTTTTTTTTTTTTGGTCTTTTTTTTTTTTTTCAATTTTTCTCTTAAATGTCATGTCTGTTTACAGCAAAGCTGTGACATTTACTACTTTTTGACATCATTAGAAAAAATTCGGACATATGTTGACTGGATTAATCTTTCTTAGTAGTCTTTTTCTTCTTCTTTCGTTCGCCTGAAATAAGTTGTCTATATCAGCAGTTTTGTCTCTTGTATAAATTTCACTGTCGTTAGTTCATTCAGTTGTCCATAGAGTTTACGTTCCACTGTTGTTCTTTCTGGCCAAAAGGTTTGTCTTAATGTGTCAAAATCGGTGCAGTCCTGGAGTACATGCTCTGCTGTCGGGGGCACATTTCCACAGGTGCACATGGCTGATACACCTATCTTGAATTTTGTGTACATATGGTTATGTTATCGGTTGTGCCCTGTTCTGAGGCGAAGGATAATGACTTGTTCTGGTCTGTCCATAATAAAATAGTTGTCTTGTGCTGGGGCTGGTGGTTTCCTCATCGATTGGATGTTTCTTTTCTTTTGGTGGTATGTGACTGGTACATCCAACTGCTCTTTTGTCGTACCTTCCCCTGCCAGTTGATCAGCTTTCTCATTTCCAGGCACTCCACAATGAGACGGTATCCACTGCATTATGACTCTTTGCTGAAGGCTGAGTTGTGTCAGCAGTGTTTGCAATTCTGGTAGTTTCCTAGACTGGAGTGCTTCAAGTACTGATTTAGCATCTGTCAGAATTACCACATACTGTGAGCCAAGATTGGTATTTAGCAGTTTCTCTGTTGCTATCTTGAAAGCTTGAGTTTCTGCTTCATAGTTATGGCAGTACTTCCCGGTTGGTACGCTGGACTTATCCCTGGTACCATCTGGGAATTCGATGTACACTCCAGCACCACCATTTCTAACTGCACTTTCTGCGGACCCATCTGTATAGACTCTGACCCATTGTTCTTGTGGGTATTCTTCATCAATATAACTGAGGGTGGCCATTCTGCGTTGTACACTATCTTGCTCTTTCTTGTCAAATATCCCTTTCACATTTGTCTGAATTTGTACCTGTTAGTTTGCATTTCTCTCTCCATGGGGTTTGTTCCGGAATACTTTTAAGTGGGCAGCCAATTTCTCGAATGTCAGGAGTTTGTCTACATATTCTTTTTGCTTGGTGTATAAAGCTGCTTCTTTTTAACCGTCCCAAGGTTCTTAAATCTATTTTCCATCGGGTGATCTGGCATACTGAGGAACTTTTCAGCTTGTATTTGCAACTTTGTATCTTTGCGTTCTCTCAGTGCCTGTGTTTTCCCAGCTTTCTCCATTTCTAATATGGGGGTTGATTTCATCCCTCCTGTGATGACTCTGAGTGCTTGATTTTGCACTTTGTCCAACTCCTTTAATGTGGTACTAGATGCTGAACACCATGCAGTTGACCCATATTCCAAGTGTGGAAGTATGCTCTGCTTGTATACTTTATTGAGTATTTTCCCATTGGCTCCCCATGTGGTTCCACTTAGTTTTCTTAGTATTGCGGTCTTCCTCCTGGCTTTAGTTGCTGCCTTGTTGATATGTTTTCTCCATGTCAGCCTGTCATCAAATGTGACTCCTAGGTATGTGGGCTCTTTATCATGTCTTAGAGGTATTCCGTTTATTTTGATGGTGCCAACTTTTTGCTTTGGGGAGAGGGTGAAGAGTGTGGTGCTACATTTGTCTGTGTTGATGCTGACACACCATCTATTGGCCCATTCCTCAAGTGCATTTGTAGCCCGCCTTAGTGTTTTTGTGGCTATCGTTGCATGTTCATTGGTGCACCACAGTACCAGGTCGTCGGCATACATTGCCATTTTGATTCCATTTGGTATCTCAGCAACCAGATCGTTGATAAATAAGAGGAAAAGTGTGGGCGACAGGACACCACCTTGAGGGACGCCTTGTCGCAGCAGAACTTTTTTACTTTTCAAACCATCTACCTGTACCCGGGCTCTTCTGTTATGTAGATATGCTTTAATCCAATTGTACATTTTTCCATTTATTTTATAGTTTCTCAATTTATTCAAAAGCCCCTCCTTCCAAACCTTATCTAAAGCTTTCCTTAAATCTATCCATGCCATGCCGCGAGTACCAGTTTCTTATCTTGAAAAGCATTCTCTATTTCTTGGGAGAGGTATGTTGTCTGGTCTTCCATAAAGTAGAACTTTCTAAAGCTCGCCTGCTGTGGTGTAATGATGTTTTCACTTTCAATGTACCATTGTAGTCTGAGGTTGGTGATGCGCTCCATTGTTTTACAGAGACAGCTTGTGAGGCTGATCGGTCTGTAGTTGGAGGCATTTCTGAGTAGTTATACAGGACATTTTCCTATTTCACTGTGATGTCCATTTAATCTAAATGAATGAGTTTTTTTCTCTCTCTCTTCTACGTATATTCTGTCTGTGACAGCCTCCTACATGACCCTGAAATGAAGACTTGGTACAGAACACATGCATTCCTCACCATTCTAAATGTTTCCAGATCACTGGTTCTAGTAATTGTCATGGTCTTCTCTTGTCTGCTGGGCCACCTATCTGTGTCTTCTTCTTCTTCATGGTCACCGGCTGTAAACTTAGGCGGAAAGTTCTGGTTGTTCATCCACTTCTGGACGAAAGTCCTGTTCCATAACTTAAATTTTGCACATCTGTTTTACAGATGTGGTTTGTTTGTATGCAGACTGTTCGTTCCTTCCCTCTTAGGCAGATGTACTTCAGCTTCAGAGGATATAGCATTTTGTTACCACAAATCTAACTCAGTACCTGTATCATTCATGTCCCACTCGCACTCATCTTTATGTTGTAGTATAGGCCGGCCTCGATACCTTTCCTTTGGCCATGAAAACATTGATTTGTAGGCAGTGCCATGTGGAGTAATGGGATGTCATTATGATGTCACTGTCGTGTCACAATGACAAAAAGTCTGCCCATCTGTAATCCACCATAGAGGATGTCCTTAGAGAGACTACCATCTTCCATTCTCCAAGTGTGACCCAGCCACCTGAGCCTTTGGAGACAGAGCATTGAGAAAACTCACCAAATATTTGCCACAAAGAGACCCTGGGCATTTAGTATAACTTTTGGAATAAACAGTCTTTTCTGTGACTGCACAGTTTTTAATTGTCATTAATATTTGTCTGATAGCATAAATCATCATTTTCTATAACATATCATAGATTCTACATTTGGACCAGTTTGTAATTTTGTGGGCAGAACATGCCTATAGTTTTAGTTGCCCATTTTTGCTTTCTTACACACATCTGCCCACTTCTGTCTCGCTTAAAGTTGTATCACTTTTATCTACAAGATACCTGAACTTAAATCTAAAGGCAGTCAAAACAAGTCAAGTGAGACATTTATATGATGGTGGTATGTGTGACAACTGGGAAGAGAAGGATCCTGTTATGTCCGTACCAAGCAAAAAGTCAAAAAGTGGTGAGTAAATAATTAATTTTTAAAAAAATGTGATTAATTAACAATCATAATAATTATAACACAGAAAAAACAAATATAATTTGTTCTGAAAAAAGTAAATACTGTTTTATTCTTCAGCTCCAGTTTATTATTGTTATTCATTATATGTTATTGTTTTTTTTTAAAATTGCATTCCATATAACTTTTATCGGATGATAGCCAGTTAGCCAGTTCAGCTCACCTTTTCTGTCTTGAAGAGCCATATTTGATATTTAGTCAAAGTCACACATTATTGTGTTCTCGGTGCCTGCATGGAGATATTCAGTGTTCTGTATTGCATTAAAAGGCTTGGGGAGGGGGAGGGGGTAATTATTTTCAAAACATGTAATTGAAAATCTGAGGGTGCTTCATATGCTTAAAGTATTGGGATTAACTATTAAATCGTATGTTGTCATTTAAAACAGTTTTATTACGCATCTGCATTTTTTTTTTCATGTGTAATACTTGTATATATATATATATATATATTTGAAGCATACTTTTCAGAAACGCTTTTAGTGTGTAAACTTATAGTTGAAAGTAATCTGTAAAAGAACTGTTATATTGTCTTCTGATGTTTTTCTGTCACAGACAATGGTACCACAGACAGCCGTAGTCTTCTTGAATGGTGCCAGAAAGTGCTGAATACTGGCAACTATCCAAGTGTACGTGTGATAGATTTTACAAGCTCCTGGCGCAGTGGACTTGCTATATGTGCTCTTATACACTCTTACAGACCTGATCTCATGTAAGTGTTCATAAAACACTTTAAAACATTTTTCTTTTGTCTGTATTCAGCTTTGTGCAGTTAGGCATAGCAGGTTAACAGATGATTGGTATCCGAGCTAGGGCATGGTCAGCTTCCTGGTACGCTATGATGTTAACAGATGATTGGTATCCGAGCTAGGGCATGGTCGGCTTCCTGGTATGCTATGATGTTAACAGATGATTGGTATCCAAGCTAGGACAAGGTCGGCTTCCTGGTATGCTGTGATGTTGTTGAATCTCAGGGTATCAGTAACTCCTTCAATTCATCTGTTTCTTTGTTGTCCATACAGCTTGGTGTTTCTACTATCGTGTTTTTTTCATGTCAAATTTTTTTTTAAAGCGTATGAGGGTATTTTTGGGTGACAGTTTAAAAAACATAAATAATTCTGATATCTTAATGATACATTTTTATTCACCATGATTGTGTCCACATATGTTTTGTTTGTGTTGCCAAAGTGAAGGAAAGCAAATTTTTTTTGGTGGGGGGAGGGGGGGGGGGCATTACTTCTCTTTAGGAAATCCATGCCAGTAGAGTGAAACAATTTCTCATTTTTTTAATTGTTTCAAGGGGTGCATGTCACAGTTAGTAGCAGGCTTTCATGTCTGGTCAGTAGCCCTAGGTTTTAACCACTTGATTTTTGAAAAAACTGACAGTAACTACAAATATTTTCAGCTTCTTTTTATCTACTTCTTTACATTCATGGGCCGTAAACTCTGGCAGAAAGTTCTAGCTGTTCATCCACTTCAGTCCTGTTCCAGAACCTGGGTGTTGTGTGCACATCTATTTTACAGATCTGACATATTTGTATACAGACTGTTGGTTCCTTGCCTCTCGGACAGAGGGGCAAGCTTTACTTGGAAAGTCACAGGTAGTGAGCATACTTTGGATCTTTTCTCAAGGCCATGCTGGCATGGTAGGGAATGAACAGGCAGACAGATTGGCTGGATCTACACCACTAGATGGTGAATTGATACATGAACAAGCAACGGAGTCAGAAGCAAAACAAGATTATTATGGCCTGGAGAGAACGAGGTGTCTGGATGTAACCAGGGAGTCTGGCAGGCTCACTGCATGCAGGGTAAAGGCAAGACGGACATATAACCAGATTACGACCGGTACCATTAGTACTGGAACTCTGCGCTGGCAGCAGAAGATGAGGACAGAGCACGCATGGGAATGCACCCAGTGCTGTGATGTAAATTCTTGACTCAACTCGGAAGATGCTCTTGATCTTCGAAGGAAACCCTCAGTTAGTTGACTCTTAAGACATGCTTGTTGGGAGGCAGTGCGTATTTTCTTGTTTTTATCTAGTTTCTAAGGGTGTGAATTGTATAAAGGTAGGTTTCATTTTAACGCTGTCTGTGAAAAGGTTTTTTTTAAAGATTGTTTACAGGGTTAAAGTTTTAAATTGCCCAATCTGACAGTTATGTAGTTGCATGAAAAAGTAATACATTATTTTGACATATTTGGAGTAGGAATTAATGTTTTTGCCTTTGGAATATTGTAAAATGACAACAAAACCATCCTTGGAAATGCAGTATGTGAAAATTGTCAGTACTGCACTCAGGTTACTTTGGCATTGTGCCAACAAAATGCAGATACTGTGATAGCAAATCTTCAGTTTAAAGACAACCACCCTATTATTAAAGCTACATCTTCTGAAACCTGACTAGACAAGGGTGACACAAAAATAAAGGAAGAAACCTCAAAAGCAGCAAATAAACAGTTGGACATCAGGCTGTGATTTGAATTCTTCGATAACTGAGCTCATATGGTGAATAGCTCGTATCCTGAAACTATTTTACCCATTAAAATTATTGTAAATTTTTATTTGTCGCAGCCTCCCCAAAATCCCCCTATTAGTTAAAAAATGACGTTTTACCTTTCATCATTCGGAAAATTTTTTGGCCTTCTTCTTCTTTTTTTGTTGTTGCCAATAGCAGAAAATGGGTTTACTTCCGACCATGATGCTACAGTCCATCATCATCATCATCGTCATTATCATTTGCCTTGTCGGCTGGCTTAAATCCTCCTTCAGCAGTGTTAACGAGACCTTATGCATTTATCGAGATGCTGTCGAATAACCCAAGAGTTCTCGTCTCTCTAGCTTACTTCCTGGATTTTGCCGTATATTCTGGGGCCGAACAAATCACAAGCCTGACACTCATACACTTGCTGAACTGGCAGGCATGCATTGTCATACTCAATCTTCACTCGCTGATGAATTTCTGTAGGTTTTAAGATTGCCCCTCTTCGGTTATATCAAAACTGGTATGGCCATCTTTAAGCTGTCATAATAATTTCACCATGTTCGTCTGCCCCAGGAAAGAATTTTAAATGAAAATACATCTGAAAAGAATACATTTGAAAATAGTTTCAGCAGGTGAATCTGTGCTGAAGGATTAAAACATCAAGTTGAAAACTGTTTTTTATACTTTTTTGTTGTTGTAAATATTTGTATGTACTACGATTTTTAATAATAAAGAGTTTGTTAATTACGAACAATTGTTTATAATGAAATCAGAAAATGTATTCACTAGTAAATGATCCTTTTCCACACCTTCTGGCTTATTGGCATTCAAGGCTTGACCTATATCTTATAGACCAATCGACACTCTGTGGGTGATGTGGTCAACATTATGCCAGCCACCTTTACTTCCTAGGACTTTATCTGGTATCCATTTAAGGCTGGGTCAACCTAGAAGTGAAGGTCATGTTTGAAAATATTCCGACTCCATCAGGACCCAAACCCACACTCTTTGGATCTGTAGGCGTGAGCCCTGGCTTTACACCACAGCAGCTCTCTGTATTAACTTGTATGTTGCTTCATTTCAGAGATTATAGCAGGCTTTTGGAACAAGATGTTGCTGCTAACAACCAGCTGGTGAGATTTGTGTCATCGTCGTTGTTTGGATGCAGAAGAAAACTGTACATAATTAAGGGCAAGGGTAGAAGATCAAGTGCTGTTGGATTTATAATATAGAAACAAGAACATCATAGATGACATTCTTCTTCCTCTTCCTTTGTCCAAGTGACCTAATTACATTGTGCCTGTTAACAGCATAGCTGTAATATTTGTCTTTCGGGTGACACATCCGACTGCATTGGGCATTAATTCTCCGGGTTAGCCTTCTCAGTTGGTTTTGTGGGACATGAGGTAGCCTTATCTACAGGTGTTGTCCCTAGAGATCCCATCCAGGGCAGTAGCATGTAGACTGGTCAGCCCTCAAGAGAAGGTGGGGGTAGAACATATGCATTCCCTGCCATCCAAGGAGGCTTCCATAAATGCAGATCCAACACATGATGCCCTGGTCCTGGGCTCAACCAAGGAATGATCACATGACTGCTCAACCTCACATCTGTGTGTTGAGCTTCCCACGCATCATGGGCCCTGCCCTTTGGAGATCAACAGGAAACAGCCCTCAGACATGGATGACCCCACAAGTGGACAAAATCTTCACTCGTGTTACAAAAGAGTTTTCGATGGACATTATCACTCAACCCATGCGCTCTGGATGGGCTCATGAGAGCAGGAGGATTTCTGGACACTGTCTCTGGGTGCCACCAACACTTGCTGAATTGACAGGCATGCATCAACATAATGGGCCTTCATTGGCCAGTTAATTTCTTTAGGGCTTACTTCTTCACTGATAAGAAAAAATGGATAACATAACTCTGCCCCTCTTTGGTGCATGTGATAAGTGGGGCTCATATCTTCAAACTGTTATTATGATGTCACAGCGTTCACACTTGTAATGTTTTAATGTGAAGCCCCCTCGTAGATGTGGATATAGCTCTGAGGTCATGCAAAAGTGCACAGAAATTAGAGAACTGCTATGCTAGCTTTAAAAGCGCTTATCTTTGAGATACAGAAGGTGGACACAGGTGTTGTAGTGCAGGTAGTATGTGACAGCTTGACACATCTCTGGATGAATAATCTCATTAAAAATTGTAGGCATGTTGAAACTTAGTTTGTAACTTATCACAATGAAAACTGGCAAGGAAAGTTGCAGTACATAACTTGACCAGCTTTTAGAAAGGATATTTAAAATCCTCTTCTTGATTTTCTTCTGGAAGTGGCTGAGGGCTAAAGGATATTTTAAGACTTAGTCGTCGAGGTTTCAACCTCACTGCAATCGGGTCACCCCCATGCTTGCTCCGTTCTTGTGCCAGTGAAAATCAAATAAAATGTCCCTGACTGTCCCATTAAAAAAACTGGGGAGCAAGCAATTGCCCCGCACAATCCAGATATATGCGCATACAGTAAATGCATTTGGTAGTTGCTATAGGTGCCAAAGCCAACAGTCACCACCAGAAATGCAGTTTGTCATTGATGGAAGTACTAGGTCACAATAAGTTGGCTATACAGACGTAAAATTTTGCATAAAGTATTTTACCAGCCCACACGTAAACCGACTACAGGCCATATTGAATACCACGCAGCCACTGCAAAAATGAAAGACATTCCACATGGAAAAATACGGCTCACAGGGCTGCACCAGACACTAAACTCAGTAGCTCAGGCAGTGAAACTGTAGACTTTTATGTCCATATGTGGACACTGTATTGTCAAAGTGCTCCCAGAAGCAAAAACATTCTGCCATGCCTAGTCCTCAAATTTAGACTTAATTTTCAGAGTGCAGTAAGATCAATTCTTCATTATAAATTGTTAAAGATTAAACAAAATAGCAGTCTAGGTCAGAGAGGTCATGTTTGGTAAGCAACTGCCACAAGGATGTGTCGTTTACAATCTCTGCATTAAGGGGTGTCAGTTTTAAAAGACACATACAGCCTAAGTTTTCAAACTTTGAGTCTGACTAACTGCATGATTGTTATTACAGGCATTCAGCATAGCAGAAAAAGAGTTGGGAATCCCACCTGTGATGACCAGTGAAGACATGGCCAGGTGTGCAGTTCCTGACAAATTGACCATGATATCTTACCTGACACAGTTTTATGACCTTTTCAGAGATGAACCTGTACCGACCCGTAAGTTGTTATTATTTGCATCAATTTCTATTAATTGCTTGAAAACAGTCCTGAAAATTTAGATGTCCTCCGTAAATTAAGTAGTTGTAATTGTATCTGAAGTTCCTGGGAAGGCTAACCTGGTCAACAAATGTCTGCAGAAGTCAGATGTGTCGTGCGGAAAGGCACAAATATTTCAGCCTTTGCTATAAACTGGCACAGTTCATTTACATCGTTGGATGAACGCAGAAGAAGAAAAAGAAATATCTGAAGTTTGCGTGTCCCAACATTCTTCGGTCTCTTTGTAGCATTATCACACGTCATAAACTCTAAACTGTTTACATCGTTGATCAGTCAGCCAATCACATTGTTGATGTCTTCACTAATGTTCCACAAGTCATCTCTCAGTCATCTGCCATTACCCTCACAGTCAGACATAATTTTTATGTTATCTGACTTTGACAGTCAGTTCATCGTTAAAAACAAAAGTTGTTTGTTCCAAACGCATGTGCACACACACAAACACTACTACTACTATTACTACATGGTGACAATAAAATAGAGTTAACAGCATCTTGATGCAATCCATAAGGCCTTCTAGATGCTACTTCAGTGAGTCTTCATTTTCTTTCCAATTTGCTTCTTGTTACAAGTCACATCCTGTAATCATAACATAGTTTACCTGTGGTTTCTTTGTATTTTTCCCAGATGTCACTGTATTTAACTGTTTTGTTGTGACTACATCGATCAGTATAATTCTATATGCAGAACTTTCATAAACAATTCATTTATTATGTACCTGTCATTACCTGGGCCATTTAAGAAAATATCTTTGTCACTTTGTTACAGCTGTACCTCTCAAGCTAACCACTAGGATTTGTCACTTTGTTACAGCTGTACCTCTCAAGCTAACCACTAGGATTTGTCACTTTGTTACAGCTGTACCTCTCAAGCTAACCACTAGGGTTTGCCACTTTGTTACAGCTGTACCTCTCAAGCTAACCACTAGGATTTGTCACTTTGTTACAGCTGTACCTCTCAAGCTAACCACCAGGATTTATTACTTGTTACAGCTGTACCTCTCAAGCTAACCACCAGGATTTATTACTTAGTTACAGCTGTACCTCTCAAGCTAACCACTAGGATTTATTACTTTGTTACAGCTGTGCCTCTCAAGCTAACCACCAGGACTACAGCAGATGTTAAGAAGCCAAATTCAGCTCGCCGCTCAAATAGGAGGGTTTCAATTTTGCAGAAGTTGAATTCTAGAATAGCAAAATCAAAAAAGGTAATCAGTTTTAAGTAATGAAGTAATGTCTAAAATATGTTAAGAATGGTAGAGTATTTATTGATTGTGTGTTCATTACCAATATTGTTTTAATCCTCCCATTCTAAGTTGTTTGAAAACTTGCAGTATCTTCAGAAGGCAGTGTGTACCATGCAGGAAACATGAGTCATTGCATACTGTGATGATATTGCATACACTCATCTCATCATCTCATCTTGATTCTCTTGTAAAGTATAATTTGTGAGAAATTGTCCGTATGTGCACTTCGTAAGGGGGTTTTCCAGAGACTCTGTTACTGCCTCTGTACATTACACACATATATGAATGAATACATTAATATAACTCAGTAGGATATCTTTCACTACACACAAACTAATTAACTGTAACATCAGAGTGCCAAATTCAAAGATACACATGAAGTAAAAGCAATATTTTTCCTTGTCAACCCTTGGAAGAGCACTGTAACAGAAATCAGCAAAGAAAAAGTTGTCTTTATTTTTCTCCGCCAGAGCTCATATTCTGTTTGGAGTTAACATTAATTGAGTTCTCTTGGCAATCCTTGAGACTGATGACTCTTTCAAGCTCACAGACAAAACTAAGCATCACTTTTTCTTTTGTAATCTCACGTAAGACTTTTGCTTTACATATACCTTTATTGTGTATCCACTTATACAAAATTAATTGTCATTGTCAGCTGGGTTTTTTTTTAATGTACTTACTTACTTAGTTGCTCCTCTTCTACCTTTGGGTGTAGAGGTTTGCCAGTGAGATTGTCAGACGTCTCTATCAGCAGTTTTCTTTCTGGTTTTGTTCTATTCCAGTCCTCTGTCAGTTAGGGACTGTCGGATGTTGTCTTCCAAGCGCACCCTGGGCCGCCCTGAAGGTCTGGTTCCCTGTTTCTTAGCCTCCCATGCCTGCTGTGTGGCCAATTTTCTCCCATTCTGCATATATGTCCAGATCATTATAACTGGGACTGATCCACTCGAGTTTGTAAGGCTGAAGTTTCAAGATCCTGACATATTGTCTGATTGCGAACTATTGTCCCTTCTTGTCACTTGGACCACCTTTCTCAGATATCTCATTTCTGAGGCCTCAAGCTGGCTTCTGTGAGCTGTTGTCATTGCCCATAAATCACACCTATAGGTCAGGACTGGTACATAGGTACAGCGGTAAATAGCTATTTTTGTCCTCTTGTCAATTTTTCTTTTGCTGAGAAACCCTTAGTTTATGGCCTGGTAAAGTTTTCCAGCAACTGCATTTAGATCAATCTGCGGGGGATAATTTCATCATGACAGTCATTTATGGTCTTTTTTTTCTTTGACATCTACTCCCTCATCTACATTAGGTCCATACACAGTGACAGTATTTACAATTGAATCTTCTTCTTTCAGGTCTAGCACCCTAATTCACCCCGAGAATAATTGCCATCCCTTAATGTTACTAACTTGATTCCTGGCCACAATACAGTCAAAACCCCATTTGGCTGTCTCAAATGTAGGGGCACTACTGTAGAGCAGCGTATTTTTATCCTGATCTGTGATTCCCTGCCCATTTTTTTAATGGTTTCAGTCAGAGCCAGGATTACTAATTTTGATTTTCTTATCTCCCCAATTAATTTAGTTTTCCTTCCCGTTAATGCCTCATATGTTCCATATTTTGTAAATCGTAGTCTGTAAGCCATGCCAGTTCGGTGCTGTTAATATGCAAAATGTCTCGCTGTGGTAACTTGTAGTTTAAGGCAAGCAGGTGATTGGCCTGTTGTGCTTTGCATCTGCCTTTTGCGGCCTCCATGCAGGCCGTCTGGCTGATTCATGGTTACCCACTACTTCTGGAGAGGCATGAAGTACTCAGGTTCTGCCAGACTCCTCTTTGGCACAACTGGGCTTGGGACCGGTCTTAGCTGAGTTTTGTTTTTAAATGTATTTCCCACATAGTGTATTTATTCATTCATTCAACCATTGGGTTCCCAGCTTGAGCATAAAACTGGCTGAGTTAAAATAAGTTTTAGTCAGCATTTATATTACATTCTGCTATTATTGCAATTGGAAACAAACTCACCTTCTCCTCCTCCGCTTATTAACTATGCAACTTACGACCACACACACACAACATAGTGAGGAAGAAAGAAAACTATATTGGTAGGGTCAAAACATTTCAGGAAAATTCAGCAAGGTACACGTTATACATTTTTCATATTTTATGCAAAACTATATGTACAAAGATTGTATTTTTGTAATTTATGTAGTTTTTCTTACCTGTTTGAATTAAAATAGTGTTGAAAAATATAGATTCGGCTTATGACCAATTTGACCTGTTTGTCGGAATAGAATGTGGTTATGAGTTGTGAAAACCCTGTATTGTGAACATGATAAAACATCACATCCGGAACATATTACAAATTTATACTTTGGCACACATATTTCTTCATGTGTAGAAATATTTTGTTTACAGAGAAAAGAGCAAGAGAAAAATGAGGGGCGTGCTTTGAGGTTTAAGAAATATAAAGAACTACCAGAGGTATGTTTATTTTATCTCTCATTAATGAAATAAGTTTTTTGCAAAGTTATGAAATGCAGTGAAATACAGGCACAAAATTTTAGAAGGTCAATTGACAAGAATTGATCACACTATAGGAGGGTGTTTAAAAAATATTATTTTTACCCTAATATTGACCTGTTCAATATGAGCATGCTTAAAAAGATCCAAACTGGCAAACTTTGACTAGAATGGGTTGATGTCGTTCAGAAGTCTCCCCTAAAAAAAAAAAACTATTATGGCTTAACACCAGAATACGCTAGTCTGAAAGGAAATGAAAAAGCTGACAGACTGGCCGTGTCTGCAGGCGTTAACGGGGAAAGAAGTATGGATAGGGTTGACATACTTAATGTGCTACTTATAGGGACATTGAGATAAAGGAGTCAGGCAGGGCCAGAAAAAAAGAAGATATGCCAATCCACTCCTACTGGATACAGGGATGAGCATGGCGACATTGAGATGACCGCTGCTTCAGAGAATGGAGCATGAATTGGTTGGACAGATCTGCTAGAATGTCGATACAGACAGCAAGTAACATGTAAGAAGCCTTTTTGTTAGCATGCCTGTGAATCGTAGACCATTGACGTGGGCATAAAAAGCAGCAGACCGGCAGCAGAGGAGATAACTTATGAATGCCTTATCTGTCAATATGAAGAGGATATAGAAAGATCTACACAAGATCTGGCTGTCGAAGTAAACTGGCTTATTAACAGTGTCATGTCTAGGATGGTTTAGACAGAAACAAATTAGTAGTGGAGAGCATTGTTCAAAGAGGCAGAAGTAAATCAGCCTTTCTCTCTCTCTGTCTTTCCCTCTCTTTCTCTCTCTCTGTCTCACATCTCCTCAGTCTGATTCCTCATAGGAGCTGCAAAAGTGCAATGGCTTGTCTAATGGTTCTTGATTTATTTCACCGTTAAAAGATCTTTGTTCATGAGAATATGGCTATAGGGTCGACTGTCTCATACAGCCAGCGTCACCAAATGTTCTCAGAGCCAAAGCAGACCAGCCTGATACTGATCACATCACTCAGTCAAGTGCTGTGTGGTCAAGAAACTAGGGCCCAGCACTTTGTCCCCGGCATAGCATTTTAGCATGGAAATGTGGTCCTTTATCTTCAGTTCTAACACAAAATTTTGTCAATAGGACAATAGAGGGAAGAGAATTGATAGGCCAAAGAGAGAAAAATATAAAGTGCATGTCAGCTTTACAAAACTAATTCCCATGCATAAAAGAAGGACCTTGCGGTGATTAGCCTTTATCAGCAAAACAATAACAATAAACAAAACACAATACACACACAAATGTTTACTGATTCTGACTACATTAAAATTGTATGTACATGAATGAGACATGAATAATAAGAAATGAACAGCATAATTATATAAAGAGTGTGATACTTGTCTGGACTACGTTTTTGTATCTATTCTTTCCTTTTAGTTTCCTGTCTTTTTTAATACTTTTTAAGCTTTACCATAGCAGCCTCATCTCGCTCGTTTACCTTTAGTGTAAACACTACCCGCTGCTTCTACTGACGGACTTGTTTTGTGATCTTGCTTAGGATGAAGATGAGCAAGAGGACCATAACAGACTGTCTAAGGAAAGTGTAACTAATCAGTTACAAATGCACCACAAAAGAGATGTTAGAGAAGGGAAGTACAAAGGCAGGGAGAGTCCTGCTGCTGTTAATGTGGCAGCCATGACAGATATTCTAACAGCCAAATTTAAGAGCCTCGAGGGTAGCCCACATGAACCTGTGAGAAAACTGGTGAGTGTTATCAAGTAGCAGATGTTTATGTTAGCAAGTAGCAGATGTTTATGTTAGCAAGTAGCAGATGTTTATGTTAGCCAGTAGCAGATGTTTATGTTAGCAAGTAGCAGATGTTTATGTTAGCAAGTAGCAGATGTTTATGTTAGCAAGTAGCAGATGTTTATGTTAGCTAGTAGCTGATGTTTATGTTAGCTAGTAGCAGATGTTTATGTTAGCCAGTAGCAGATGTTTATGTTAGCAAGTAGCAGATATTTATGTTAGCAAGTAGCAGATATTTATGTTAGCTAGTAGCAGATGTTTATGTTAGCCAGTAGCAGATGTTTATGTTAGCCAGTAGCAGATGTTTATGTTAGCAAGTAGCAGATATTTATGTTAGCTAGTAGCAGATATTTATGTTAGCAAGTAGCAGATGTTTATGTTAGCCAGTAGCAAAAATTTATGTTAGCAAGTAGCAGATGTTTATGTTAGCTAGTAGCAGATATTTATGTTAGCCAGTAGCAGATGTTTATGTTAGCCAGTAGCAGATGTTTATGTTAGCAAGTGGCAGATGTTTATGTTAGCAAGTAGCAGATATTTATGTTAGCAAGTAGCAGATGTTTATGTTAGCAAGTAGCAGATATTTATGTTAGCAAGTAGCAGATGTTTATGTTAGCAAGTAGCAGATATTTATGTTAGCCAGTAGCAGATGTTTATGTTAGCTAGTAGCAGATATTTATGTTAGCAAGTAGCAGATGTTTATGTTAGCCAGTAGCAGATGTTTATGTTAGCCAGTAGCAGATGTTTATGTTAGCTAGTAGCAGATGTTTATGTTAGCAAGTAGCAGATGTTTATGTTAGCAAGTAGCAGATATTTATGTTAGCAAGTAGCAGATGTTTATGTTAGCCAGTAGCAGATGTTTATGTTAGCAAGTAGCAGATGTTTATGTTAGCCAGTAGCAGATATTTATGTTAGCCAGTAGCAGATATTTATGTTAGCCAGTAGCAGATGTTTATGTTAGCCAGTAGCAGATGTTTATGTTAGCCAGTAACAGATGTTTATGTTAGCCAGTAACAGATGTTTATGTTAGCTAGTAGCAGATGATTATGTTAGCATGTAGCAGATATTTATGTTAGTTAGTAGCATTTTAGTAAGCAGCAAATTTTTATTTTAGAAAGGAGCAAATATTTATCTTGGTAAGTAGCAGATATTCATGATAGCAAGTAGCAGATTTTTATATTGGTAAGCGGCAAATATTTATGTTTGTTAAGTTGTAGGTGTGTATTGTTATACACTTACTGCTAATAAGACAAATTATCTGTGAAGTGTTTACTATGTTAATTCTTAATAACTCAGCCTGTCGGACAGTTTGGAATATTTTTATATCGTGACAGGAGAAAAAGATTACATTGACAAGTTCTTAAAGACAGGAAAATAGACAGCAGTTGAATTGGGCAAATCATTAGTCTTGGCTTGATCACAGTACAGGAAGGCAAAGCCCAGGGCAAAGAAAAAACAGAATGTCCATTTAATAATTGCATTTTGAGTGCATACTGTGATGTTCCAACTTTTTCAGAGCTAGGAAGAGAATTGTTTAGAAAATAGGTTAATAGGAAAACCCGATCAAATGACTTAGTCACATATCTTTGGGCTAGTGGTCATTGAGATTTTTGCTTCTGGTAGACTGCAGACTGGCTAGTAAGGATGACCATTTCTGGTGATTTAACTGTTGTACATCAAAGTACACTTGTTCTTTCAGCAAGACAATTATTCAGAAGCAACAGGTTTGGTGTCATGTGCACACATAGCTTTAAATTAAATTATTCTGTGGTCAGGTATATTTCTTTGATGTCTGCCTTTTATGTTTATATGTGTGCGTATGTTTTATGTGATTTGTGGACAGACATGATGTGATTACCCCCATCAAAAGGAGACAATGTACATTTTTGTTTTCACGTCATGAAAAGGAGAAAGCTGGAGTACATTGTGATGATTGAAAGTTAGAGAGGAAAAAGAGGCAGAGAAAGATGAGAGAGGAGATGCTGGACAAGTTGGACATCATGGCATGGAGGATAATCTGTGTCAGAAGTTATTTAAAGTACTCAAGACAGAAGGTTGTGGAAAGTCATGACTACCAGCGCCACACGGCATGGACTGTAGAAGATCATCTGTGTCAGATATTATTGAAAGTACATGGGACAGAAGATTGTAGATAGACATCACTGCGAAAGCTGAAACAGCATGCACCATGAGAAGACGTCTTATGTGAATACCCTTGAATTCATAAGTAGCCATCACTGTGATAAATTAAATGTGTTGGAAAAAAAAAAGGATTTAATTTATTAACTAGGACAGCCTCAGTTAATATAATTCATCTCTAGGTAAAAAAGAATGTTCGTTTTGTTTAATTTTTTTTTTTTTTTAATAATCTATACTTAGGAACCAAATTTAAAAAAAATACATATTAACTACTTAAATCTCTTGTTTAAATTACACTTTCAGAAAACTCAAACAAGTCTGGACCAACCGCCTTCAGTCAGTGATGTGTGCTATTTTTGTCGGAAAAGAGTGTATATAATGGAGCGTGTCAGTGCAGAAGGTCAATTTTTTCATCGAAGTTGTCTGAAATGCGATCACTGCGGAATGGGACTGCGATTAACCAATTATTCCTGTGACAGGGATGTTAAACCAGGTTAGTCCCTTCAAGTTAGCCATTTCAAAAGCCTAGTCAGTGTTCAGATTTATAAGCAATTCCTCATCTTTAAATAAGTTGTTTTTTCTTTTCTTTTTGATTAACCCTATAGACCTGAGAAGCATTGTGTCTAATTCCCCCTTAAATTTCACTTTTCAGGCTTGCCTATAGGGACGCCTATAGGGACCTGTTTATTGGACACATAGTTAATGCTGTTGACCGAGTTTGCGCCTGCCTAAATGTTAAAGAATACATAAACTAAAAATAGCATTGGATGGGAGAGTTGGAGCGCGGGGTGCTCCCTTTGTTAAATGGCTTTTTTGAAACCAAGATGAAGTCAGATTTTCTCGTAAGTCTCTATGATCGAGATCATAGGTTCACGGCATGAACCACTCTATCCATGTGTTGTTGTTTTTGTTTTTATTTATTGTTTTTTAAAGGCCCATGGGACATATTCTATTTAATGTTTAACCCTGTTCGTCCTGTTTATTGATTACTCCTTTCATATATGTGTATATTTTAAAGACATATAAATTACAACTGCAGATAAATATATTTTTAACAAATCTATTAATGACCTATGTAAAAATCCGTGTTTTTTTTTTTTTTTTTTTTTTTTTTTTTTTACAGATTTGTTTCTTGAATTCCAGTAGGTCGTGACCAGTTTTATTTAGTGTTCCCAATGTGAAAGGTTTAAGCCAGACTTCTCCTGTAAATATAGACAGTGGTCACTAGTGCTGCATATAAGGGCTTTGGGATTGGCTATAACTTTATAGTGCGTAGACATAATGAGTATGAGTATATACAAACTACGGAAATTTCACGAATTATAAGATATTTACTCCCCATGGCTAAATCAACAAAAACATTTTCAGACGGAAGGAAAGTAATTAATTGTTTGCTCCGTTAGTATTTAGTGAATAATTCCCTTACCTAAAAATGTGTTTTTGCACACACACAAACACACATACACAATAATAATAACAATTCATATGAATTATTATAGTAATTTGACGGCCGCGGTATAGCTGTGGAGTTCACACTTACCTGTCTGCTCGGGTGGTTCGACCCAATGAATGTTTTTAAAAACTGACCAAGACTCACAATTTCTTTGCTTCTTTTTCTTTCTTTATTTTCTTAGGGTAGAGTTTCAGACAATTATGAGGATGTGTTTGTGTGTAACAGAATTGTGAAAAATAATTTTTTTAAATGCTTCAAAGGGTTAAGGACTGCATCTTTCAGTTCACAGATGCAGTTTTTAAAAAGATTCTTAGGGGTTGTCACTGGAGTTAGCGAGCTTACGCATTGTATGCCGCTCTTGGCAGGTAGCTAGCCATTCTCTGGTGAAAGACTGAGCCATGTGGGTTAAAATTCAATGCATTGAAGTCATTTCTCTTGACTTTAGCTTTAACTTAACTTTATTTCTGCCTTTTCTTTCTTCTTTATTCAGTGACTGTAAACACCGGCAAAAAGTCTGGATTGTTTGTAAGTGCAGATTTGGCGGTCTCTCTCCCTCTCTCCTCTGTGTATGTGTGTGTCTCTCTTTCTGTCTTTTCTGTCTCTCTGTGAGCCTGCGTGTTTATGTGTGAGAGAGAGACAGACTGACTCAATTTCAGAACCATATTGGTGAGTCACTTCTATTGATTGACCATAAACTGCCTGGTAAGCAAATGCATGTTCCCTTGTTTATCATTTAGTCATTTTGTGTTAGATGTGTTTTTTCCTCAAAGAAAAAAAGCATGGTTAATTTATAATAATGTAATGTTGTGTACACACAGTGAAGTTCTACTGCTATCGGCATGCGATTCCAGAGATGAGACTTCGTCCACAGAGAAAGCGCCTTTTAGAAGAGGTAAGTTTGTAGTTTACACCTAGCAGTTATTCTTCAGCACAAATAGTTCAAAAGCAAAAAACCCTTTTACAACAATGATGCATTGGACATATGATGCTAGATCATTTGTGCTGTGTAACTGATCTGGTCAACATCATGCCAGCCACCTTTACCTCCAGGAAATTCCCTAGCACCTTTTTTTTCTAGCTTCACCATAAATACTGTTTAGTAAAAGCTGATACACACCTACTGACATTTTTCATTGATTTATTATTATTCTTAGGAGTTACGCCAGATTAAGTAAACAGCTTTGCACCTGGGGAGGGCAGGTCATTTGCTTGTCCTGACACTGGAAATTAGTACTGGCAAAAGCAGGCAGCATAAATCACCCATGTTCCCCATGTGGGTTCCAGGGCCCTATTATAAAGAAAACAAGAATAGACCCACTGCCTACCCAAAAGCATGTCGTAAGAGCCAAATAATTGTGAGCTTCCTTTTTTGAAGTTGGAATGCATCTGCCTGAGAGGCAAGGAACCAGCAATCTGCATAAAAATGAGTCAGATCTGTAAAACACGCAACACTCAGGTTCTGGAACAGGACTGCAGTCCAGAAGGGGATGAACAACCAGAACTTTCCACCAGAGTTTACAGCTGGTGAACGTGAAGAAGAAGAAGAAGGTGCGAATGTGTCTAAGGCATGGAACGTAGATCATCCATGTGGATGTGTCAAAGGCAACAAAGATAAACCATCCGTCGGAGTGTGTCAGAGATATGGAACATCGATGTGTCAGCATAAACCATCCATGTGAATGTGTCAGAGGCAGGAAATATAAACCATCCATGCGGAAGTGTCAACAGCAGGTAACATAAGCCATCCATGTTGAATATCAAAGCCGTGGAACATAACCCCTCCATATGAATGTGTCAAAGCAGGGAAAACAAACCAACAATGTTGAGTGTAAAGGGCATGGAGCATAAATCATCCCTGCGGATATAAATGACAGTTAAAAACCATCACATTGTTTTCCTAAAAATATGTAACCATCATATTTTTTTCCCTAAAATATGTAGCCATCACATTGTTTTCCCAAAAATATATAACCGTCACATTGTTTTCTCTAAAATATGTAACCATCACATTGTTTACCCAAAAATTTATGTCGCATTGTTTTCCCAAGATTATGTAACCATCGCATTGTTTTCCCAAAAAACGTGTAACCATTTCATTGTTTTCCCAAAAATATATAACCGTCGCATTGTTTTTCCAAGAATATGTAACCATAGCATTGTTTTCCCAAAAATATGTAATCCTCACATCATTATTTTCCCAAAAATATGTAACCATCACATTGTTTTTCCAAAAATGTGTAAGCATCACATTGTTTTCCCCAAAAATATGTAGCCATCACATTGTTTCCCCAAAAATATGTAACCATCACATTGTTTCCCCAAAAAACATGTAACCATCACATTGTTTCCCCAAAAAACATGTAACCATCACATTGTTTTCCCCAAAAAACATGTAACCATCACATTGTTTCCCCAAAAATATGTAACCATCACATTGTTTCCCCAAAAAACATGTAACCATCACATTGTTTCCCCAAAAAACATGTAACCATCACATTGTTTCCCCAAAAAACATGTAACCATCACATTGTTTCCCTAAAAATATGTAACCATCACATTGTTTCCCCAAAAAAGATGTAACCATCACATTGTTTTCACCAAAATGTGTAACCACCACATTGTTTTCTCAAAAATATATAACCATCACATTGTTTTCTCAAAAATATCCAACCATCACATTGTTTTCTCAAAAATATCCAACCATCACATTGTTTTCTCAAAATATAAAACCATCACATTGTTTTCTCAAAAATACGTAACTCACATTGTTTCCCAAGAATATGTACAGATGTAGACATCTGCCAAATGTTTCTGACCAGCATTCAGCCTGAACATTGTACCATAAAACATGTGGCTCTCTTTTCAGAATAACATTCCAGATGTTGTTGTTACTCCTGCAGAACAGCTGCCCAGAGAAAAATGCCCTCCCAAAATTATCAGTAAGTTTAAGTTATACCAACATTAGTTAGTGATGTGCAGTTGTAATAAGGTTTGCATTGGTTATCCAAACTATTGATATTTCATATTTCCTGTTAGCGAGGAAAAGCATTCATTTTTAAGTGGGACCTAAATTAATTAATTTTATGTTTTCCCTTTTATTCTCGCATGTATTTTTCTAACTAATGTTCATATACAGCAATATTAATGGATACTTCTTCTTGTTCACCGGCTGTGAATTCCGGTAGTAAGTCGCGGTTGTTCGTCCAAAATGGACTTTTGGCTTTGACCTTGACCTGAGTTTTGCGTGTACATCCGTTTTACTGGCTTATTTGTTTGCAGTACTCGTTCCCCGCCTCTCCGGCAGATGTACTCCGACTTCGGAGGAAGACGTCAAGCCTATTTCTAGGTTGACTGTGGCCATTGTTTTGTGTGGGTCGAGATGGTGCCTCATTTGTGTGGTGTCCTCTTTGACTTTTAACAGGTGTGGCCCCCGGCATGTCGTCCTTGAGGCAGCTCTATGTAGAGTTTTCAGCCCTCAAGGGAAGGCAGGAGCAGATCATGGGCATTGCCCGCCATCCAAGGAGGCTTCCATAAATGCAGAGCCGACACATGATGCTCTGGTTCTGGGCTCACCCAAGGAATCGTCACGTCCTGCCCATGACTGCTTAACCTCACAACCGTGTATTGAGCTTCCCGCGCTACAAGGCTGCGCTCTCCGGAGATCAGCGGGGAGCAGCCCGCAGGTCTAGGACGTTTGTGGCCACACAAATAGGTACATTCTTTTTCATCTTACGTTAGACACCTTTAACGTTGTTTCAGCTATGCCCTTAGCACGACAAAATTGGGAAGCAAAATGCGTCAGGCGTGGCTTCACCTGTTTGGTCCCAACACTCGGGCGAGTTGGACCAGTGGATACGGACATTCGGACTTTTCCCTAATCGGTACGAATTATGATCGTCGGACTCTGAGCTTGCATGTGTGCCGTGGGGTATAACTTTGTCGGACATTATTTCCAAATCAGCATATGAAAAGTTGCTGCCGTGGTGTACCTCAGCGCGGTGACGACGACACTGAGGATTGACAGAGGATGTACGTAGGTAGGATCTTGCTGCGAGAAGTCGCCCACAAGAGATGTTACTCGTCTTGGCTGCGGGTAAATCTCTCGGTCAGGGTTGAGTCTCAGCAGCGAGTTTTAACCAAGAGTTGTCATTTGATGGTACATTTAGCAAGCAATATTTGAGTTTTGTTAGACTTTTCACCCATGCGTTTGGGGGCGGGCTGGTGAGAGCCAGAAAGGACACTACACCTCTGGGGGCTGCCAGCTCCGAGATCCCCTGCCAACTCTGTTAATGCTCATTTGAGACATTATCCGTGGCGCACGACGGGGACGTGCAACAGGAGTCTTGCATGAGGTTCCGTAAAACCAGAACAGTGAAGGACTGGCGCCCGAGTGGGGTACGGAGTATCTCCTTATACACCTCACATCAGACTTAACTTTGCCTCATGCCTGTGACCGAAATCACCGCGCCACTTAATGGATACTGAGGTTTATGTTTTGTAATCTCTCAGGAGGAGTGAAGAAATAAGAGAAATGTCTAGGCAAAAAACTAGTCTTAGTCGAGGTTTCAACTTCAATGCAATCGGGTTTTCCCCATACTTGCACTGTGCCAGTGCCAGTGAAGATCAGAAGAAATGTCCCTCACTGCCCCATTTTAAAAAAACTGGTGAACAAACAAATAGTCCCAGAACAATCCAGAAATATACACATGCCATAAGTGCTAATGGCAACCACAAGTATCAACGATTATAAGACAGAGTAAATGGCTCTATGTTTGGACACATTCTGAGAAGAAATGAACAGAGAATCACCAGACAGTCACTGAAATGGGAAATAGAGGGATTGGGGAAATGAGGACGTCCAATAGAAACCCTAATGCTGGCATTGATGAAATAAGCCAGAGGTGCTGGACCGGATGATATCCAAGTGATTGCACAGGATAGATTGGAATGGAGAAATTGATTGTGAGCCCTGTATGACATATAATGGCCCACAGGACAATGAATGGATGAATTTCTAGTCTCAAGTTTTTCAGTAAGGCTGCTTTTGTGTGTGTGTGTGTGTGTTTTTTTTTTGTTTGGGGGGGGGGGGGGGGGGGGGGGTGCTTTTTTTAATATGCTTCCCTAAACAGGGGAAATCCACAGGTCACTGGACAGTCTAATATTTCAGGTGGTGGTAGAAAGGCTTCATGCAATCGTGGGACCTAGGCTGCACTTTCTTGTGTGACGTAGGTGCATTGAAGTTAGGGCCAGTTCTAGATGTTTTGGAGTTGTTAAAGGCATCAGAAAGCTGGGAAACCCAGTCTTAAAAGAAAAAAGAAAGTAAAGGACCCTTTTCCACACCTTTAGGCATATAGGGCTAGACCTATATTTTTTTTATACCAAAAGATAAGTAATGTGGTCATCACCACGCCGGCCACCTTTACTTCCCGGGACGGCACCCGGTACCCACTCAAGGCTGGGTTGACCTGGGAGCCAATGTCATTTTTTTTTAAGTCTGGCTCCAAACCCAGTCTTACCACCCTCTAAAATGTTGGACTGTCCTTTGACGTCATCTGAGGTAGGATATTAATAAAGAACCTTTTTTTTAAAACATTTATTGATAATACTGCATGGTTCCTCAGTGGTTTTGCTAAGTGCTTTCTTTTGCTTGACAGATACATTTCAGGCACCTGTGATAAAAACAGCTGATGTACAAGAACAAGTGAAATGTACACCAGAACGAATGGAATATGAGATATCATTGGATGGAATAGAGGAGTCTGAGGAGATACAGTCTGAGCATAATCTGCAAGCATCGCAGACACATGTTGTACAGTCAGATGAGGATGTGAATTCGGAGTCGTCTGACTCTGATGTCGGGTATGTGGTGATGAATCATACTGTACCAACCCATACATCCACCCTGATTTCTGGAAGCTGTATATACTTTACCCAGACTCACCCAGTTTGAACATTTATCATCCCAGGTGTAACACCCTCTTCCAGAACCTTCCTTCTACCCTAGCTCGCTACTCATGTTCAGTTTTCTTGGCCCAAACATTAACTTTAATGGACTAGATCCTTCCTGACCACAGGCCTATCCTGACCTATTTACTAAACCTCACCCTTGCTCATACTTGCTCACCCATCTAGACATCATCATTACCATGGTTTTACTGTGCCACTTTATCTCATAAAGGGCTCGCAGTCTATTCATCCATTCCGTTAAATCGGGTGGAATCCTTTCAACATCATGGATGGAATTCATTCCAGCACACCTGGCTTCTCTCTTCAACGTGTGTTTTAGGATTTCTCTTGAATGTCCTTGCTTCCTCATTTCCACATTTTAGTGCTGTTTGGTGATTCTGAATCTGTGCTTGTTTTTTCTCAGGATATATAGCCCTATTTTCTTTGTCTTGAAACTGTTGTTACCAGTGATCCCATATGGAACAACTCCTTAATTCAGAAAGGGCATCCACATTCTTCTGTCTGCTCACATTAGCTGTTTCCCACTTCTTACTCACCAATTACATCAGCATTCTGCCAATCACTCTCTGTCTCATAGACATCCCGTTCCCATCCAGTGCTGTCATCATACCTTGATCGTAGTTCTGAGTTCTTTCTTTTTAACAGTAACGTATTTGTGTTTTAATACAAAATTATTCAACAGTTAGTGCATAATTTAAAAGCATTTCCTTGTATGATTAGGTCAGGTATTGAGGAAGTTATAAATCTTTTTGTTTTTAAAATTGTCCCACAACTAAGACTTCAGAACACTTCAGATTATCATCACTGTACTCTGAAAAAAAAAAATGTATTCTTTTTCTACGCACTGTAATAGATTTAAGGAATTAGAATTGAGATGCTATCGTAATTTAAAATGTTTTAATGAATATTTTCAGTTACAACCTGGCAGAAAAAAGAACTGAGTTGTTAACATAAAATAAATTATTTTATTTTAATGAAAATTTTCAGTTGCAAACTGGCGAGTGAGAAATCCCTTGCTATTTCTTTTAATAGAATTTGCTTGTCATAATTCGTACGCAAATTAATATCTCCATTTTGAAGAGGCATAGGGGTTAAATAATATGCTCTTGGATTACAATTTTAAAGATCTTTTCAAACATGCACACTAATACCCATATATATGTAATACTTTATGCTGTATAAGGAATGAATATGTTGTGTTTAACAATTTTTATTTATATTACTTGTAATTTCTTTTTTTATATTTTGTTCCAGGTATTTTGTGGAGGATTCGCAGATTCAAAAGAGCGGCAAAGCATTTAATAATAGAAGTGAAGTTTCTAATGAGTTGGTGAAACAGGATAACGGAGAATCACAGGCAAAAGCAGTTGCAAGGAAGCTTGCCCACGATACCAGCTATACACCTGCATCCAATAATTCTGTCTGTGAAAACTTGCGTGTTGGAGCAGCTTATTCAGAAACCAAAGGAGTCTTCATTGAAGGGCACCTTAGTCCCAGTGCTAATAAAACTAGACGATTTCGCATGAAACGCCAGACAAATAAACAGCACATACCGTTTTCTAAACTAGACGGTCAGAACAACAAGACTGGATCAGCAGCAGTTGACAGACTTCAGCTTGGGGGTCAAAGGTCAGAGTTGGACATTCCAGCAAAGGAGAGTACAGGAAATGGTAAGCCACAGCGCATTCCTGTGATGGGAATCAGCTATGGTGAAACAGGCACTTGTGAGAGCTTAAATGGCATGAAGAAACTAAAAGCTGAAAACAACGCTTACCAGAAAGTAGAATGTTTGATCTCAGAAAATTTTTCTGCAGATAGTCTGGGTTTTAGAAAAATTGATGATAAATTTGTCACCGAAAGGCGCCACAAAAACATGGATAAAATTGCAGCAGCTTTAAAAGAGCAAAGTAAGTTATTGTCTGGAGATGCAGAGGAATCAGATATGTATTCTAGCTTTTCCATATCAACACCCAGTGGTAGTGAATCATCAATAACTTCTGTTGAACTGGACAAATCTGCTTTAGATGATGCTAATAGAGTCTCTTATAACTTGGCTCAGCCAAATAATGGTGCAAATTTAGTCTGGAGCAAAAATGTATTGTCAGATCAACTTGAAAATGATTGCAACAATAATAAGAAAGCAAGTGCAAACAAAGGGACTAATGAGAATGCAAAAGTTTTCCCAGATATTTCCCATAATATATCATGCATCACACCAGATGGTAGCACAGAAAAGCTTAGAAAGGCCATAGATACCCCTGTTCGAAGTAAACTATCCCTCACCCGTCCATTACCTCCACCAGGTTCGCAGCCATTTCATTTGCACAGATCACTATCATCAGGTTCAGGCACCGCTCAGTATTCACTTTCAGAAGTTAGCAGTAGTGACATCACACGGTCATCTAAAACAGAAAAAGAACAGTCACCAAGCAAAGATACTCGCCTGTCTAGAATGGGCAGCAGTTTTGAATCGCCGCTGGTAAATTATGCATTGACATCAAGACTGGCAGTGTTGACTAAATTTTCTAACCAGTCAGAAGGTTCACCTCGCAAACCTCTACTGACATCATCATCATCATCATCATTTGCAAAATACTCAACAGACCGGCCAGCCGTGTATTCAGCTGCCAAGATAAATAATGAGGTCTCACCATTGCCTAGCCAACAAAGTTTCTCAACTGTTAGAGGAACCATGGCTACACCATCTGATTATAAAACTTCAGTAACAGGGAAGTCTGGTGACAGATTTTCTAATCGCTATGAATTTTCTGGGCAAACTTCAGCAACTATTGATCCACAATCACAGAAACCAGAAGTGGTTGAAAACAAATTTAAACAGAAATTAGATGCCATCAGACACAAGCCTCATGGGTTGGGGGCAAAGGCTAAGGATGCTATTGTTGACTATACATTTGATGGCAACAGGTCAGGTTTAGGTGAGATTTCAGAACTATATGGTCAGAAAAGTAATGGGCAGCCTACTTATCTAAACAAAACCGGGGCTGAAGCAGCGAAAACTTTGAGTCTGACACAGCCATCAGAAAATCATGATGCGTTAAAGACAGTTTTACCGAGTTCTTCAGCATGTACAAAAAGTGATCCTGTAGTTCTCAGTTCCCAGCAGATTCGGGATAATTATAGAGCAGACATAGAGAAAGCTAGACTACAAGCTAGACATAAAGCAAAACTAAAAACTGATGAGGAACTTGGCATCTCTACTGTAGGTCATGCCTATGCTGGTAAAGAATATCTCTTAAATAGGAATGTCCCTGGGAAAGTTGACAGCCATTCTCAACATGACAAGCATAATGGTGCAGACAATACCAGTGGCATAATTTCCAGTCATAATACTAATTCTGTCAGCTTAGCAACTGTTGATGAAAAACATGGAAACCATTCATGTCAACCACCAGCTGTATTGAGTCAAAAAGACAGTGTTGCTGTGATCAGTTCAGAAAAGTCATCTTACAAAAATGCAGTGTCCAGCCTGATTGTGCAGCCTTCTTTAAAACCAGATAATCATGCTAAATGTGAAATGACTAATGAATTTAGTGAACTCGATGACAATGTTTTAGATGTAGACAAGAATATTTCATTTTCCACACATACAACAGTACCCACGGCAACAGAAGAACAGCAGATATCCCCACCTACAGGCAGAAAGGACAAAAAGAATAAGCTCAAATTTTCAAAGAGCAAGAAAGAAATTAAAAATCATGAATCAGATAAAAATGGGAAATCATTTTTAGCTTTGCTTGGTTTGGGAAAAAGTAAGAAGAAGGTGACAGAACATTCTGATGTCGTGTCCAGTCCTGACTGTTCACCACAGGCTGCTGAAATTATTCCCAAGGATAAGCAAAAAAAGAAAATACACAAGAGGAAGAATGTCAAGGAAAAGAAATCAAAATCATCAAAAACTTCCTGCCTTGAAAACCAGGACACAGCTTCAGAATATAGTAAAGACCTGTCTGTTTTTTCAGTGTTCCATAAAGACTCAAATAAGCAGGTGAAAAACTTGCTTGATGTTATGCCAACTTCAACCTTGACTTCCAAAATGCATGGTAAGTGGTATTTTTGTAAGCTCTTTTATTACATTTAGTTTTGTTTGTTGGTTTGTCTGGATACACTTTTTTATTATTGTTTATTGGTTATTCAGCAGATCAACATCATAGCACACAGTTGTAACCCATAAGTGCTCCGTTATACTTCTAACTCAAGATTGAGTGTGAAGAATCTCAGTGCAGTGCACGAACTCTGTTGCACGGGCGAGGATCCTGAAATACTTTGGGTAGATTTTTAACTCCAGATTTTGCCTGGGCAGTGCCGTTAGGCTGCTCTTTTTGATTTCCAATTGCCAAAGTATTTATTATGTGCACAGAAATACACACGGTCTTACTACTGAGAGACCAGGGGAAATTACTAGAAGTCCATATGAAAAAATCCCAGCCTTCACAGGGGTTTGAACCTGGGTCCTCCAGCACTCGGGGGGGGGGGGGGGGGGGGGGGTCATACCTCAAGACTACTCAGTCCCTGTTTTTTTTATTATTTAAAACATCTGTCTGCTCTGTAATGCTCTTCTAACTTTTTTGCACTGAAGTCATGTGTTAAGATTATTCAGTATAGAGATTAGTTTGAAATCTTCTCAACAGGTTACTTTACCATAAACCTGGCTGGGTGGCAGATCATAAATGTATGCTTGTGAAATTATGTTGTTGTTTTTTTCTTTTCACCTTCAATTTCACACTGACCACTTATCCCCCCCCCCCCTCCCCCCCCCCCAACCCTCTATCTCTCTCCTCTCTCTCTCTCTCTCTCTCTCTCTCTCTCTCTCTCTCTCTCTCTCTCTCTCTCTCTCTCTCTCTCTCTCTCTCTCTCTCTCTCTCTCTCTCTCTCTCTCTCTCTCTCTCTCTCTCTCTCTCTCTCTCTCTCAGTACATGGTAAAAATGTTAGTTTATGGGTAACTTCTACTTTTAGGATTTTTACTGTGACAAAAAATGTTTTTTTAACAGGAAAATAAAAATGTATGGAAATTGGATCAAAAAGACAGAGACAAACACTGTTCTTTAGCCATATAATGAGAAGAGAGACATTGGAGAACATTGTCACAACTGGAAAGATCAGTGGAAAATGGGGTAGAGGCAGACCAAGAAAGATGATGCTGGATGGGCTGAAGTAATGGCATGGAGGGATATCATCAAGAGAGCTGTTCCAGGAAACCAGGGATCATGATCTGTGGAGATGCATGAGCGCCTATGCCAATTGGCAGGGCACATGATGATGACTGATATTGAGTGACACTTCTTTGAGCTTTAGAGATAATATTTTGTTGTATCTCAGAACATAGTTCACCACCCATAGGAAGGGCAGCAGCCACTCTGTCAGCTTGCTTATTGCCCCGCAAACCCTAATATTCTGGAAAGAAAATCCACGATATGCTCCTGGTCAGGGTCTTATCAAGTGAATCAAGCCACTCTATGCGTAAGGACACCAGTTTCTGTTTTCTGAAGCATGATCTATGAGTCCATTACAATGACCACATGTTGGGCTGTGCTGTTCTCAAGCCACCGTAAAGCTGCCATTACCGCCTCTACCAGTGTTATCATACTGGATGCTGTAACGTTATATGTGAGGCTCTCTGTTTTCAAGCAGTGTATCAGCCTTTGCAGTGAAACCCCACCCACTCTTTTTACATCTCACTAGTCCTAGTCATGGTCCTTTTGAGAAAAAAAATGAAAAGGTCGACCACTTTTAGACTGGTGCTAGCTAGTACATCTCACTACAGTCCCATCTGTGAATATAACCATGTCTCCTGGGTGTGAGTTTTCATTGATCAGCTCTTGCACCGAAGCCTCTGTTCAGCAGTTATCCACTCCTGGCACCCTCGGTACAAGGTAACCATCAGTTTGTGAATGTCTGGGTTGTTTTACAGTGTACCACTGTAACCCATTTTTCACCATGTGCTATTTTGTTAGTAGCACAGACTGTTCTGATCATGCTTTCTGCCTGTGCCATCTAGGAGCTACCTTTTTTCAGCCGATTTCCCTTGCTGTCCCCCCAAGGCCTCATGTAGAAGGTGTTCCCAGTCCATTGCAACTTTAAGGTACATTTTTACCTGTAACACCTTGTATCTTTCATGCATGGACGGCAGTGCAGGTACATGCCATATGCATACGATTGGCTTGTGCCGTGTACATCCCCAAATGACTCGTATGGCTTAGTTTAGTGTTGCGGCTTCTCTATTTTGCTGTTAGATAATGTGACCAGGCCCAAGCCATACCCCATCACTGAAATGACAAGTTGCTGGTAGCGTGTGTAGAGCATTCTCTGTCCCATGTCTGCTGATGCCAAGGTGAAGAAATCTATTGATTTAAATTTGCTCAAGTAAATGTTGGTCTTGTAGTTTCTGTATTGTTTCTTTTCAGCAGAGGAGAGATCTGATTCTGATGACAAGCATATTTCTCACTCACCAATGGGGAGAAGAAAGGTTGGTTGTTGTGTGTGCATGTATGTGGCAGAAACTGCCACCCCCACACTGGACTTTACAGTTATAGCAGACACTGTTTCCCAAACCCCATGGTCCCAAGAGGCTGATGGTTGCCTGCACACTTTGTGTGGGTGTAGGTGGGGGCTTTGGGGAGAAAGAGAGCAACATTTTTAGATACTATCAGAGCTTCCCTGTAACCATCATCTCCGGCCAGTTTTATTCTCATCTTGTTAATTGAAAATCTTATTTATTACAGTTTCATAAAATGACATAACAGTTAAGGACCTCACAAAATCAGATTTTAGGAAAGGTGGTCAAGAAATGTGGTAGTCCCATGCTGTAAAGTTATGAGTGGCCTGCTCTTTTGTATGGATGCAAATACTGGTCATTGAGTAATGAAATGTGAAAAAAACTAGAAGGAGTGGATCTGTGGATTGGGAAAAGAACAATGAGCATACAGATAATAAACAAATACTAGGGTACTGAGAGCCTCGTGTGTTTCACAATCAGTCAGCAAAGCAATAAGAAAAGTCAAATAAATGTATGAGTCCGAAGAGGTTGACTGGGAGAAATTAGCCTTATTTGGAAAACTACAAGGCGTGAGGAAAACAAAGAAAAATGTAAGTGGGAAGTTTATATAATCGGGCAGCAGTTATTACTAGTAGTATCAGAGATAAATTTTTGGCCATAGGTAACGACACCAGTACTGGCACTTTTTCGGGCATCATTTTTTTAAGCCTTGCTGTAATGGTCACTTTGTGTCGAGTGCCGGCGCCTTTTTTGTACGCTTTGTGGTGAGTATCACCACCTTTATTTTAAAAGAGAGAAACATTGGGATTAGTATATGCAAACCAACTTTATTAAAATAACAGACAACAGACTGGATTAGAAGTCATGATTTGTTTAAACCTGAATATCTTTTTCTTAATGCTGTTCATTTCTTTGCAACTTCTGTTATCTTATTCTGCCTTCTCTACTCTAATGGAGCATAGACCTTCAGCCAACTCAGGCCAAGCTCATTGTGGGCCTCTGATTGGTTGGATTTTGCAGCTATAGGTTTTCTGTTGGATGAGATAGCCAATCATCTTTAGTCTGCTATTGTGGCAGGCTTATTGTTAGTGTTACTGTTCCTTACTTGCCTTCCATTTGTGACATTCTCATTTCGTCCTGCTATTCAGTAACAGCACTTGTTAGGAAAAGCATGTAATTTATTTGACAAACTTGTTTGTTAATAAATGTTGGAACTTTTGGTCTAATCAGTGATCACGTAATTCAATTTCTTCTTGTTCTACCTGTTCACTGGTTATAAACTTTGGCGGAATGTTCTTGTTGTTCATCCACTTGTGCACTTTGTTCTTGATCCAGAACTTGAGTTTTGCATGCACATTAATTTTACAAATCTGGCTTATTTGTATGCAGCTTGTTGGTTCCTTGCCTCTCAAGCAGGTGCACTTTGACTTTGAAGGAAACGCACCTAAGTGGTCGTCTTTTATACCATGCTTGTTAGGCAGGCAGTGGGTCTATTCTCTTTTTCCCCCAAATGTGGCCCTGGCATCAACACAGGGAATAATTGATTTTACATGACACATATATTTTCTTTGTCAGGCTTGGGCACAACAAGATGTTTCCCCATTCTGAAAGAGTCCATGCTTGTACACTTTGTGACCTGTGTTGTGTTTTTAGACTTTCTCATGTGGATACCTTTATTATCTTGCCATTTTTAGTCAAGGAAGATTGTATATCATATTCACCCCATCCCTCACCACCCCCTGTCCTCTCAATTTTACACATTTTAACCAACATTTAATTGTAGTAGTTAGTGATGCGCAATGTTTATTTCATGCTGAACAGTTGAAGCATTTATTACTGGCTGAACATGTTTACATCCCAAATTTCAGGCACAAACTATAGATGAAAGGATTGCTCAGCGTATGTCGAGAATTGCTAAGATACAGCAAAAGCAAGCTGAGCAAAGGCGCCTGAGAATGGCACAAGAGATACAACGTCAGCTTGAGGAGGTTGAAGTCAAAGGGAAGGAGTTGGAAGAAAGGGGAGTTACTGTCGAAAAGGCACTCAGAGGCAATTCTCATGGTAAAACTTGAACATTCATGTCAATGTATGAGTCTACTCACTGTTACCATCCTAAAAATAAAGTAATTAAGCTTTCAATTCAGTTGGGTGTCATTTCCACACTGAAGATTGACCTCAGTGGATCCTAAACATGTTCTTCTCTCACATTGTTTGTTTGTTTTTCAGAATGAATTTAGCCCATCTCTCGGGACTATACCCACCACTTGTATCACTTTTACACCTCGCACGACTGCCTTCAACTTTTTCCTGCAGTATTTTTTTTTTTTAAGTGAGAGTGTTATCTCTTTGAATGTGGAAGGAATATTTCTCCTGTCTGGGTTTTTTAAATATTTTTTTTTAAATATAAATTTGTCAGTATTTATTTATATATCACTACAAAAATTGTTCAAATACTAGTGGAATTTACTGTATCAACAGAACCATGTTAAAACATTCTATATATCATGAAACAAGTTTGACGGCATTTGTGTACTGTATACTATTCTATTCATTTTTTAAAACCGTGGCGCGGTGATTTATATCACAGGCGTGAGGGGAAGTTAAGCCCAACATGACGTGTATAAGGAGATACTCCGTACGTCACTCGGGCGCCAGTCCTTTACTATCCTGGTTGTACGGAACCTCACGCAAGACCCCTACAGCACGTCCTCGTCGTGCGCCACGGATAATGTCTCAAATGAGCATTAACAGAGCTGTCAGGGGATCTCGGAGTTTGGCGGCCCCCAGAGGTGATGTGTCCTTGTGGCTCTCATCAGCCCGCCCCCAACGCTTGGGTGAAAAATATTATCAAAACTCATTAGGAACATGAGTAGGGTTGACAAACATACAGCTAAAATTACAACCTTTGGTTAAAAGACTGCTGAGTAAAGAGATCATTGCTCACTGCACATCCTCTGTTAATTCTCAGTGTCGTCGTCACCGCGCTGAGGTACAACCACAACAGCAACCCTCCATAGGCTGGCCATCCTTGTACATCCTCGGTTGGCCCTCAGTGTCGTCGTCACCGCGCTGAGGTGCACCACAACAACAACCATCCATAGGCTGGCCATTCACGTACATCCTCGGTTAACCCTCAGTGTCGTCGTCACTGAGCTGGGGTACACCACAGCAGCAACTATCCATCGGATGGCTAAGCCTAAATGTCCGACAAAACTAGATCATACGGATCAAAATCTGACCATCAAAATTTGCACTGAACTGAAAAAGACCGAATATCCACACCCAAAGACCCCACTCGCCCGAGTGTTGGGACAAAACTGATAACGATGCGCCTGATTCAGGATGTGAAATTCTGTCAGGCTAATGCACCTATCTGTGTGGTCACAAAAGTCCAAAACCCACGGGCTGCTCCCCGCCGACTTCCAGAGGGCGCAGCCCATGTCGAGTGGGAGGCCTGATACGGTTGTGAGGTTAAGCAGGCATGTGCAGGACGTGACGATTCCTTGGGTGAGCCCAGAATCAGAGCAATATGTGCCGGCTCTGCATGCATGGAAGCCTCCTGGATGGCGGGGAATGCCCATGATCTTCCCCTGCCTTCCCTTGAGGGCCAACTGTTCCACAGGGGGCTGCCCCAAAGGGGTACTCTGGGGGCAATACCTGCGGCGAAGGAGACAAAATGGACACCACACAAATTAGGCAAACTTCTCGACCCACACAAAACAATGGCCACAGTCACCCTAGAAATAGGCCTGACGTCTTCCTTCGAAGTCGGCGTACAGCTGCCCAAGAGGCAAGGAAATGAAAAACGGTTGTACACGCAAAAATCAGGTCCAGGTGAAAGCCAAAAGTCCAAGCGGACGATTAACCAGGACCTTCCACTGGAATTCATAGCCGGTGTTCGATAATAATAAAAATAATAAATTATTTAAAACCATGTTGTACATTTGTGCACTGAATACTCTTGTATAGATATTATTGATAAATTTTACATTTATTTCCTGTATTGTGTCATCTTTATGTCATTTGAGTAGTAAGGCATTGTATCATGTAAACTATCATCTATCTGTAAGACAAGTAGTGAAACATGTGCCTACTTTACACTTATGTCCTTCTGCAGAAGCTGAAAATGAGACCCAGTTGATGAATGAATGGTTCATGCTGGTCACTGAGAGAAATGCCTTGCTCAGATATGAATCTGAGTTACTGGTCAGGTAAGATATGAGATTTCTACTAAGCAGTGTTAATTCCAGATTGTCTTCATGCTTGGAAAACTAATGAAACACAGAAGATATATTTAAAAGAGACAATTCTAACAAATCATAAAAGTTTACTGGACAGATTGAGCTCATAGGCTGTAATCCATCTAAGGAAGCTCGTCCTAACACAAAAGCACACTAAAGTCGGAGGTGCCAGGCTAAAAGGTGCAGGCAGATAGACCACAAAGGTGTCACAGCCGAACTAGAAAACTATATGTCACCATGCAGTTCTTTCCTGTAATCCAGTTACTTACCAATGGTAGATGAGATGTTGAGTCTGTTAAAACATGCATCACACCACAAATTCCATAGAAGACTGTGGCCTTCTCATCTGAAAACCACTGGCAGGCAGAATGAAAAAAAAGGAAAGAAGAAGATACAGGCTGAAAAATGCACAATTTCAGTTTGATTTCTTGATGTGAATTTATAAAAGTCACAAATAATACCTTAAATTTTATCAGTCTGATTATGATAAAGAGCATAATGTTGTTATTGCCTGTTTTAAACAATCTGATTCTGTGTAAATCTAGTTTTAGCGTGGATAAATTATTAAGTGGTGAAGGTACTCTGGAGTCAAAGGGACAGTGTAATAGAACACAAACAGAAAATCCATACATTGAAAGACTAATTCCAGGATGTAGGTGGTGGGAGGGGAGGGGGGGGGGGGGTATAAGTATAGGTTCTGAACGATATTCAACACTGATAGATGTTAATCAGGTTGCAGATGGTATATTAGTATGTATACTCTTCGTTGGCTAATGAGGAAGGAAGGACACGAAGCACATGTGGGAATGTCCAGTTTTCAGTGATGTCATTTCCTGATTCATTCATTCATTTTATTTCAATGTATACCTTTTAGACATGTTAGTCTTGAAGAGACAAGCATACCTACTTGCAGGTGCAATAATCCTAGGTTCTATTTCTCAATGCAAAACATTTTTGTGCCACAGCTCTGGGGTCAGTCCAGCTTTTATACAATGGGTTCTCTGATATTTTCTTGGAGGTGAGACGTGTGAGTCGTTGACTGTCTCGCAGTCCTTAGGGAAGAAAATTAGAGTTTTTGAGCTGAAATTCTATCGAAAGATTCTCAGAATACCACGGACAAAGAATAAAAGAAATACTGACATCCTTAAAGATCTGAACATCGAGAAAGTTTGGCTAGTAAACAGCATCTTATCTCAGAAACTAAAATATTTTGGCCATATCAAGTGCTATAGCTGATTAGAAAATAATAGCAGAAGGCCTGGTACCATAAAAGAATAGCACAGGATATAATTGACACATTGGGTAGGAAAGTGCACCAGGCGGGAGAGCTGGCGAGAGACTGAGTGTCTTTCAGATTATGATGAGAGTAACATTCTGCAATGGACCAGCTACATGATGATGATGAAGGTGTCTGATATTGACAGTGAAGATGTTGAAAAAAAAAGTGCGGGGGGGGGGGGGGGGGGGGACATCAGCCAGCATCTACTATTTCACATCACATCCAGCACTTTTAATCTTCATTCGCATGGAGGAACAAGGCAGATGTGGTCAAGACCCTTTGGGAATACGCAACGGAATCAGTAGAGAAACAAGATTATTATGGCCTGGAGAGAATGAGGCACCTGAGTGTAACCAGAGGGTCTGGCCGGCTTACTACACTCAGAGGAAAGGCAAGACGGATATATAACCAGATTGTGGCCGGTACCATCAGTATTAGAACGCTGTGCTGACTGCTGAAGATGAGGACAGAGTACACATGGGAATGCCCCGAGTGCTGTGATATCAGTTCTGGACTCGACTCAACTCGCATAGAAGAATTATTCATAATAAATTGCCACAGTGGCATATTCTAGTTTTTGTAAATATTTGAATATAGTTAAGTTTAAAAACACTTGCATAATTGCATTTTCAAATATTTTCTAGTATAATTACTGTGTTTTTTGTATATATTTATATAATACATTTGAATTTCAGGGCAAAGGAACTGGAATTAGAGGACAGGCAGACTCGTTTGGAGTTTGAATTCAGAGAGAAGTCTAAACTTTCTGGTAAATTTTTTTTGTCAGTCTGCACACTGTTTGTTGGTGTGAACATCTCCAGAGTTTGCAAATTAAATTGGAAAGCAGACATTTTTAAATAGTCTATCACATTTGGAATCCGCTATTGATCCAAAGGTAGGTTCAAATCCAAACTGAGCTGGACTTTTTTTTTTTTTTAACTGACCTTGGCTCCCAGTTCAACCCAGCCTTAAATTCCTACTGGGTAAGGTTATGGGAAGTAAAAGCAGCCAGCATTATGTTGATCACATCACCCACCAAGTGTCGGTCTATGAAATATAGGTCTGAATCTATGGAAAAGGGTTTTTTGTCAATTTGGATATATGAATAACATACTTTAAGAAGCCCTTGAAAAGTATTTACAGCTTTATAGCTTCAGTTTTCTCCAGTCTTGTCGAACAAACAAACAAAACAGAATACAGGTAGTCAAAGAGGAAAAGTAAACCAACATAGAGCTGGTGTTATTTTATCAGTTGCCACATGCTGAAGGAGATACTTAAGATAGGATATGAGTGCTTAATGGACTTGTCTTGTGTGCGATGAAGATGATCAGTTGATTAACTGATTAATTTTGTTGAGCTGACAGACAGATATCACAGCCTAACTGTAAACCACAACACAGTGTGGCAACATCCATTTTATGGGGCAGACACAGAAGAAGAATATATATTTTCAATTGATTTAGTGTTACATTATTTGTCCCTCTAACCTTGTTTCCTTCCTTATATTCACTCTTACCAGGTGTTTCTTTTTTGGTGGGGGATGGGGGGGGGGGGGGGGTGCACAGTACCAGAACATTTGTTAAGGTGTCCTTTTTTTCCCTTCAAGCACTACTGTAATAGACTCTTGTTTGTGCATCTTTTATTAAATACCTTGTGCTGAGTACCAGCAATTTTTTTGCCTAGGAAAAAAGCTGGTTACTTTTTGTAGAATTTTAAAAAGGTATGACTTTGTATTGTCATTTATAATCGGATCACTGTTTCTTTGTTCCATAGAATTGAAAAAAAAAAAAAAACAGGCTCATAACTGAAGATATTCGGACATTGGGGCCTATTGATAATTCGCTCATTGGGGGAGGCGCTGGTCATCTAGGTCGCATGCCAGATTTTCGCCTCATAAAGAGAGTATTTTATGGTGAGCTCCAGCAAGGCATGAGGTTCCCGGGAGACAGAGGACAGGAAAAGAAAATCCTATAAGGAAATTCTTTTAAAAAC